AGCACACCGATTAAGGCATCTGAGTGACGTAGTGGAAAAAGCTGTCACCCTCAACTGCAGAGATCTGATCTGTGGTGCTTCTGGCTTAGCCAGCGACATTTCTGGTGGAACCAACCAAGTGACAAAGCCCTCAAGGAGCTGTAGTATTTATAACAAGAGCAAAGAAGCAAGTCAGGAGATGTTATGTTATATAGGGACAGTGTCCGTGGTGAGGAAGTTAGGTGGGTCAACAGGACCTCAAACTTTAACATGGGTAAAGACTGTTTATTTCGAGTTTACAATATTTTTTAAACCACGTGGTTATCACTGATGACAAAGCTCTCCTAGCTTTAAGTATTAATTATAACTCAATGCAAAACTAAACCTAACATAGTTGTTTTTGTGCCTGAACCTAACCAAACCTTAACCATGGGGTTGTCACATCATAAAACTGATTTATTGATTGATAGTAATTAGTAACAGTTGTGGAAGACATAGAGAAATAATTTCATTGTGCTGATAATGGTTACATATGTAGAAAACACTGGATGGACAAACGATGTACTTCATTGTTTAATTTGGAAGATTTATTATAACATTGTAGTGTTACTGGGTGGGAAGCCAGTGAGGGTTAGTTACTCCTACTGGCTGCTGTTCTGTTCTGTCTGTCTCATTCGTACATCCTTCTCAGGCACAAACGCTGATGTAAAGTAGTAAGAGCTTTCCCTGTTGACAACCCCTCTGTTGACCTCACCGCGAATTCCAGTTGTAGCTGTTTTGCTTCTGTTGTCTCCAAGATCAAGAATGAACTTTAAATGTCATCTGTAAAGCCAACATGGAAGAGACGTTCTTAGAAGAGACCTGCTTTGAAAACTGGATCTATAATTCAATGACCAACTGTACTCCATTGGTCCCTTGCAGTACACAATTATGTTTCACATGGTATGAGCATAAAATAAACTTGAATAAAGGTTACAACAGGGTACAAATACAAGTTTTTGTGCTCCAAAAGAGCAAAATATACTTCTTCAGTGACCCAAATGTATTTTTCCTTGATTTACACCTTTTCCCAAGGGCAGTTCAATTACACTATTACAGATTTTTTTTGTAGGTTTAAATGTTACACATAAAATGTATTTTTTATTTTTGTCTTACAATAAATGTCTCACAATAGATGAGAGGGGAATTCAGTTTTAATTAGCTGTGTAGGCGTGTATGCTTTGCATGAAGTGTCAGGAAGAGTTGTCAGGCCTGAGGTTATGAGTGACACCCCCTTTTCAAAAGTCACAATGCATGTGAATAAATCTTAAAATGAAGGAGGAGGACAAGAGAGAGGAGTGGTGGAATGTGAAAAAAAAAGGTAATAAGTATAGCGGAGAAAAACATTCTGGTTAAGAACACAGTGATTGGTTATTGGCATAGAATAGGCCAAAGGGCAGCTTGTCCTACTGAGTATTTCACTCTGAACAACATTTAAACACAGCAAATTCAGCTTCTTACTGTAAAGGTGCAGCTATTAATTGACAGCAAAAGCAATGTTTTGGCTGCTTTGGTTTGTATGCAGCAGGGTGATGTCAGTCCAAGGTCATTATGTGACACCACAAAAGGCTGCAGTCAAGAAATTATTACCCTGGGTGAAAGGCTAGGGAAGTAAATAGGACAACCTGACCTGAGACCTGCTGAATTAGCTTTAGAACCAAAACAATTATTGAGAGGTGCAGTGCAGAAATCAATGGGTATAAATGAATTTCGATGACCTGGTCTTACCGTAGAAAGACCCTCCGGAATTCTTTCGCACTGTTTGAGTGAGGCAGAGATGGTGCTACACGAGCCTTAATGCAGGTGAAACAGCTCTCTGTGGAGCTCCAGTGGCAATTATGAACCAGATTGGTCGTAATTTTTGCACTGTAAGCTCAATTTCCTTCCAAGGTGGTTTCACAAAGGTGTAATTTGGGGTGTAGATCCTATTTGCATTTGAGTGTGGTTTTCAAAAAGCAAGTGTTTATGAAATAAAAGCGGCACTCAGCTGGAGACTGCAGGTTTGGGAGATGGCTAAACATGAATGTCACATTAGATACTGCTGCCTCCGGTCCGAGGTTAGCAAGAAGACTGAATATGTGTGTGTGAATGACTCATTGCCATTAATATAGTTCATTCGGGAAACCACAGAGGAAGGTGCTGTGGTATGACTGCATGTGTTGTTAGCTCTTCATGGGGCAACATTGAATGATAAGAGGGTGAAAAAGGTAGGTCACAGGAGTATCAGGTGTAAATGGTGGGTAATCTGAGTCAGGAAGCAGGTGCTTCCCTTCGAAACTGTTGGTTTGAGGCCAAATAATGAGATCTGAAAGGGGAACCCTCAATTCAAATGCCATGAGAGGAGGACAAAGCTGTTAAAGCAGCGTGACAAGTTGAAAGCTCAGAACGTGCAGTTAACTATCCACTTCAATCCTCAAAGCTCACCTTGAGGAAATGCTGCCTTCGCCTAAACCAGCTTTCAGGTTTTTCTGTAACCTGCTGAAACCCACTTTCATTTCAACTCTTTGTGCTGCTGCGGTTTATCAACCAATCGTGACAGTCTTGCACCTTGTAGTCTGACGATAGCTGCTGCAGTGAAGCTGCAAAGTGCTTTGTGCAGAGGAGGAGGAGGAGGGGTTCCTCAGTGAAAGCAATGTAGCCTTTTGTCTGCGATTCCTGGAGTCACAGTCATGTAAAATCATGTGCCAAATAACGTGCTGTCAGAAACAAGTTAAAAAAAGACAATAAAGACCCAGATGCATTTTATTTTAATTAAAGTGTTCAGAATATAAGAGTGTAAGGGTTTACAAAACACATTGCTCGATTCATTTTGCGAGTGCCTGAGAATGTTTTTTTTTGAATGAATGAGAATGACATTTTTTATTGAAAACATCATCTTTATAAAAATTATAAGAACCGAGACCTTTTAATGAAACTGGAGATTTACTGGAGGTTTCACTCCATCACATACTGCATGCATTAAAGCTAAAATCTAACTAACACATCCCTCCCAAGTTCTTCATGAGGGCCCTCTCCTGGCTGATGCTGGTTACTGATACAAACCCTGTCTGTTGGGGACAGCAAATGCAGGTTTGTGATATAAACATTTGCTCTGCTGCTAAGCATAAAAATAAAAATGGCGATCTTTCATTCGAGGTTTGGGGTTTTCTAAACTTCTGCTTTCATCATGACAACAAACTTCTGCTATCCCATTTCCTCTGAAATTATATAATCTCATTGTGAAGCTAAAACATGTGATGGACTTACTTTAACTTTTGACCATGAAAAACAACATCACGAGGGTCACAGCACATGGCACTGGCATCATGAATATGCACTTATGTAGCTCATCATTTATAAAATCATCATCATCTGAGAGCCATAATGACAAAAGATGAGTCACATTGCATGTTGATCAAAGAAACTGAACCCCATAAGTAAATTTGACCAATTTAGAAAGCAAAGGCCTTTATTTTCAATTAGGTAATTGAGCTTTTTTGGTAATATATTATCACAGAAGACATGACAGAAGAAGTCCAATAATTACATCAACAGCTAGTCAGAGTATGTCGACAGATTTTTCTCTGGACCAGATTGTTGAAATGAGTCTGAAGATTTGAAAAAAGCAATTTCTTGATATCTAATGCCACCTTTAGATATTTCTATTCAATGCTTTACTATTGTGCCACAATAATGTTGTTTTTTGAGTTAAAATATATTCAATTACAAGCTAATATTGACATGTGAATGTTTGCATGGCATGTACATTTGGCAGCATATTACAAACCCTGATGAGGTTCATACATACAGTAACAATGTGACAGGTGAGAAAGTATGTCTAATTTAATGTTATATTCTTGTCTTCTCTGTTAACGCAGGCCTTTCGGATGCTAAGTGATACAGACTCCCAACACTGCCCAGCTTGTTAATACTGAACTAAAGCCAAGTTTTAAACAGGTCAATAGAGCAGGGACAACACACAGAGCCAGATATAGATTTTATCAGGGTGTAGCTTACTTGCCGGCGACGCCTCTGTCTCTGTTACTGCCTTCTGGAATAAGAAAACCTGTTTTCAAACTGCTGTTGATAGATGAAGCAGTCAAATATTTATCTACAGTCTACATGGCCAGTTGTAAGACTTTTAAAGTAGGTATTTAGATTTGGATCACTGTCAGTCTAAACACATATGGTTTAGATGAAAATGTACAAGCTGTTGACGAGGTGTCAGCGTGTACGTTTATTTTTAGATGTTTAATGTATACGCACAGGAAAGTGCCTTTTAATGTTTAACTTTTACCACTTCAGGTGATACAGATGTATGTGTCATACAGTGATTTCTCCATTTTTACAGCATCACAACTCTTAAAATGGAAAAACTAGGAAAAAAACACCAAACCCAACAGCTTTAATTCCTCAATCATTCCCGTATCAGAAACATGAACTCATAAGCAATGGCTATAAGTTGTTTAGTCTTGGGCTTTGAGCTCAGCGTGTTAACAGCCCTTCAAACTTCACACTCAGTCTGCAGTACGGGCCTCCAGATGGACCTACTATTTTAGCTACACTGGGACAGTTTTGGGTCACAGTTGAAATTAATGAGAGCAACATCAAAAGTGAGCAAATGGTTTATTAACTAAGTATTTTACAACTGGCCCGCATCATATAAAACTCCAGCACGCCTAACTAAATGTTTAATGAGGATGTTTTAACATGAGTCTCTGAGTGCCGTGGTGAATTATTACAACATTAGAGATGTTCATTTGGCGAAAGCAAATTAATTAGGCAGTAAGGAACTCTTTGGCTTCAAGAGAGGAGGCGAAGAACAAGCAGTGAGCCTTGTTAGTGTCTTTTTCAATTTAGTTCCCTGATTAAATGGTTCCCTCTGCTGGTGAGTGTGTTACGCACAGAGCTGCAAATCACAGTTACTGAGATTTATTCATCCTCTTTTTTTGGGGATCATCAACACAACTGGCAGAAACAGAAACTCTCAACACATGACTGGATCCTTGTTTATTTTTTTATTTATTTTTTATTGGAATGCTTTACCTCAATGACGTGACAACAAGCCAAAACAGTGCAAATGCTGAATCGCACCAACTCCCACAATCTGAACCCCCCCGCTTCAAGCATCATTTCCTCAAGCTTCACTTGTCTTATATACAACTGGGGGTCATTTCTAGACACTCATACGTCCAACTTACACAATCCGGTACCAGACATACTGCACACAACCGTCCCCATGAACACTTAAGGCACACACACATACACTATTTATATTTAACACAGCACGCAAACGTGCAGAGCTTAAGACAGCAGTAACGTCGGATAATTTGATGCTCGACAAAAGACTCTCGGTATAAGCTCACAGACAAATGGTTTTCTTTACATGACCTGTGATTGCTTTTTAGCATTTAGCGTGACAATATTCAGTATAGCTGTGTTCAGTAGCTTAACCATTTGGCTACTTTTTATTCCTAAAAATATTCAGTAACTATACCATGTGGAGATGTCAGGTTCCAGGGTGGCAGGGCTGGGTGAGAACTACAAGTACGACAGGGAGAGAAATAAAAAGGAGGTGAGAAACAGAACAAAGAGGTACTTCTAAGAGAAAATACTGTATATTTATGTATTTAGGAGGGAGAGGGAGAGAGAGCCTGTGCTAGTCAAAGTCTGACTGTGAATAATTGGATATATTAGTGTGAGATATAGACGTAGATAGATACTGTCCCAAATCAATCTGTATTTTTATAAGGAATAACTCACCTTATGATTAGCAATGTGAGGTGAAAGCAGGAAGACTGTGAACGGTTTCTACTTGGTTGTAAAAAAAAAAAAAAAAGAAGATAAAATCAAGTGCACTGAAATATTTTTTCGGTTCAAAGATGTCCAACAGATACGAAGGACACAGTCAAGAAGTTGTTAGGAGCACAATTTAAAAAGCTGGCAGGACTTTAGTTTAGCGATACAAAGCATAAGAAATGTGTAACCTACTTGTTTTTTTTAGACATTAAAATGAAATATCACAGTAGATTTATATGGACACAAACGGTGTCATTCTAAAAATACAATGTAAATACACTTGTGGATGTGATGTGCATGTAAGCAGCAGAGTCGGGGAGGTGTTTGGAAGACATACGCAGATTATCAGACAGGTAGATTCCACAGTCTCACATCACTAATTAATACATATGAATACATGATTTTGATTGATATTCACTAATTTAATGCACAAGCGTTTCTTTCTACACCAACGCTGAGTCTTAAAAACATGCATGCATTGCAGCGAACACTGACGTCAGGTTTGAGTTGAACTTTTAGTTCACAGGAATGAAGTAGTGCTCTGCTGTATGTGTGGTCTGTGGTAGTTAACTCTCCAGATTACACTGATCTTTTTCATATTGATTAACGGTTTCAAAAGACATCTAAATAGTTACACACTGAGTTCAAAGGTGAACATTTACTGCAGCAGGCTAAGTGCTCGTGTTTGGCTGAGTATATGAAATAGTACATATAAACAACTGGACTGACTAAACTATCATAGTAAATTAACTTTATATGCCATTTGCTTCACGTGGTGATGCTTTAAGCAAAACTGTCTAATAGTGAGAGTAATTTTTTAAATACTGCTCACCGCTGTGTGCATCTTAACAGAAGCCCCTCTGAGCAGTGGTTCCCAACCTTTTTGACTTGTGGACTCTTAAAAGGAAACAATGTCACACCCAAGAGAGATTTTGACATCTGAGACTGTTTCAACTGTTTGTCAGAAAAAAAAAAAGAAACTGAATTTTGTGTACCAGGTCTTGTGACACCCCGGGGGACCCTGGCCCCCGGGTTGGGAACCACCGCTCTGTAGCATACCGGTCAGACTCATAACATTGTACAATGTTGGATAATGTTCTGCCTACTGTGAGTGTGCTTGTGCACTGGACGTCTCATGTGTTAACAGAGAGGCCGCACAGCTAACCGTTTTGCGGAAATCAAACAAAACATGGAGGAAGAAATTAGATTGTGTTTTTCTGTTTTGTATCATATCTCCGTGACAATCTGTGTTTATGTGCCACTGTAGTCCCGTGTGATCTCAGGATATCTGTCTATGAATCAGAGTAGTTTGATCTTGGTAAATCCTTCTGCAATAGAGGTTACTACTGCAATCACAGTGTCTACGTCTGTAGTGAGGTCTCTCTCCCTCTTTAGCACCTCTCCACACCCAACCCTCCGCTCATGAATGTGATCCCACACCCCTAGTGGGCTCACTCACATCGGGGTGCCTCTTCCCCCTATAAGTGAGCCCTTCCTCCTCCAGATAACCAGGGGCATGTCTCCCCCGTCTCCTACAGCAGCGGGTGAGACATGCCTCTGGATAAATGTGCTGCTCGGCCGTGGCCCTCAAACCAGTGACGCCCGTCTCTCCTCCGGCGTCTCCTCCAGTATCTGAAGCAGCAGGTCACTGAGGGGCTTCGCCATGGCGCGGTAGCCTGTCGACGTCAGGTGGAGGAAGTCAAACATGTCCTGCAGGATGATGGTTCCATCAGAGTGGACGAACTCCCTGCTCACATCGAGGTACTGAGCCTGGCCCAGTCGCGGCAGCCAGGAGCGAAGGTACCCGTTAACCGCAGCGTTCTTCTCCCTCAGTGGGTTAGGACGCTCGCCTCGAGGCAACAAGCCCTGAGGACCATAGAAATATTTTGTCTCAATTAAATCTGCATCAATTGAGTTAAACCTTGATATTTTGTATTTCAGCTGCTTTTATTAAAACATCCTTCAGGGTAAAAGAGCGTACATTTGGCTCTAAAACTGGGTTACATATTACTGGCCTATCACTAGCATCGGAAGGGAGCATGGGTAGTCTTGAGTGTAACTTGATAAACAGACACTTTTGATCAAGGAATTAAGAAAATGAATTTATTGTTATACGACACAAGTATGTCGTTTCTTCATGCTAAACACATAGAAAAAGATAATCAAATTCATTGATAAAGCATTCAAAATTTTTGATAAATATATACAGTTATTTATTTACATGTATAGACCCAGGAAATAATTCTATATGCATGCATTTTAATATATACAGTACATACATTTATATTTTTTGTCTTTGAATTTACCCTTTATATTTAATATATTTTTATTAAATGTATGCATGTGATAAATAACATCTTTGAATCTTAAAGTAATTATACAGATACAAAGATAGTTTGCATTGGCTCAACGGAGAACAAATAACAGAACTTTGAAGCATTTTGTTTCATTTTGTATTTTTATGGAAAGAACTGTTTAATAAGCCTGTTGCAAACATAGTTTTTATTACGGTGATTTTTTGCGGACCCACTTTCTTTCACTACCAAATAGAAACAAATAGAAAATCTACTTAAAAAGTAAACAAAAAAAAAAAAGGAAACCTGAATGCCAAAGGTCAACATACCTGTTTAAAACAAACAGCAACAGAAGACGAGACATAACTACTTACCAGTACAACTATCTTTGCTTTGGGGAGGCGGGAGGTGAGCAGCTGTGCAATAGCAAGAATTCCTCCTGCAACTTGCTCTGCTGTGTGTTCGTAATTGTTGGTTCCTACCCACAACACCACCACCTGGACAAGAGCACAGACGCACACATTAATCTCCAATACCGTGATCAACGCATCATATACAGTAACAACAACATCCTGTTAGCTGTTTTGTGAGAATGAGTTGAGAATGAAGAGATTGAAATCTACATAACATAAGTAATACAAGCTCCAAGCCCCAATGTCAATATCATTAGCATAGCCAATAGGCACACTTATGTTGATACAACAGACTGTTGTTGCTACAATGTTTACCGAATGAACACAGCAACTTAATAACATGGTTGCTGTGGTCACAAACTCTCATCTCTTTAACAACCACGGACCATCAGCCCGCCTGCGACATCCAACTACAGATGTTCTGATTTTTTCCCCAGTGCTGATTCTAATACCTGAACCTATATTATTGTTCTGTAACAGCTGTATGCTATTACTAACCCTGTATGATTGCTCTCATTGTTGTTTGTTCTGGCTCAACTTAAACCCTGAACAAATACATACAGGGAATGAAATGTGACAGTCAGTCACATTGCTGACTTTTAGCTAGCTCTGGTTAACGATACACAACAAAAATCAACTGTGCTTCATTTCTCTACAACAGCAGCTGCCAGTGCCCAGTGACCGCACAGCGCACAGGCCTCTGTGCATACTCTGCCTCTGATTGGCTGGTACTCGTTGCCTTTTGTTGGTTTAGGTTAGTTATACTTGTTAGGATATTAGGGGCTAATAAACAGCATGGTATCGGCTCGTACTCGTTGATAGCGGATCCTGCATTTTAGGAAGTATGGGAGGCATTTCTGATAATAGTATTAGAACAATTCTACGTCCAAGAAGATAAGGGGACACATGTATGTTTTTTGAGGAACAAAGAATGTATGTGTAAGGTCTCTGTGTGTCAGAACAGTGTGTGCATGTGGTGCTTTGTGGATAACAGAAGTAAAATGTGTTTGCAAGAGTTTGTTCTGCACCTGAGGTGTAAAGATGCGAGTGAATAAAATGATTTGGCTCCGAACAGTCTTTCTCTGAAGATCTTGGCAGGCTCAGCTCACCTTGGGACGGATGTTCTCCAGCTCTCCATTCTGCAGCCTCCACAGCACGTTACAGGTTGTGTCTCCTCCAATGCCAAAGTTGAGCGCATGAAGAGGAGAGAATAACTCCCTCCAGACCTGCGGACAGCACACCAGAAACCTGCATTTCATATGAGAGTATACTAACCAACCACACAACTAACTCACTGACGCTGAAGCATGCCGATCAGAAACAAGACAGATTACAATATGTGAATAAATATAAAATAAACACACAAGTGAAGATGTTGCTGCTATGTGAGCAGTCAAATGCCCAGGTGTAGAAAGGTAAATGTCTCACCTCAAACTGCTGCATTAGTTGCACCATAGAATCCCCCACAAACAGCACATCTGGTTCAGCATCCTTACACTCTTGCACAAATCTGGTGTGCTGTAAAAAACACAACCTCGTCACAACAGAGCTTGTGATGTAGTCCATGAATGTGAGAGATAGGAGAGATAAATGTAAAAAAATAAAATAATAAACAGACAAAAATACTATTTAATCTGTTCCATATTGTGCCTCTCAGTCTGAGTTAACACCTTTGTGTTGTGAGTTTTCTAAACTTGTCAGCCTTCCAAGTCAGACAAAATCCTGCACGCTCATCACACAACAACAGAGTCTGGTGCTCCATCTGATAGAGATTTTGGAGTAAAGCAGATTCTCTCAGCCCAATTAGCTTTGGGAGATTAACCTTGCGTAGATCTACTAGGAGGTGTTGAGCTCTGAAAGAAATACAAATCTTGGGAATGGTTACAATGTATTTTTAACCAATATTATGAACACCACCCACATCATTTACCCCACATTTATGGCTAATATTATTGAGAATGTCATCAAAACATCATCTCATCACATTGTGCAGATGCAGCTTTCATCCCTTCATTTTAAAATGTTTTGCTCACAATAATCAGTTCCACAAGATTACAGCACATTCCTGAACATCAAGGAATCAAACACAATAATAAATGTGTTATAGCTGCCTTATAAAATGTGCAGTAAATAGAGAGAGATTAACAAATAAAACAATTGAATAATAAAGTCAAATTCTAACAAACTGGGGGGGTTCACATGTCAGTAACTTGCATATACATACATACAAGCTTTATTGTGTATTATATATGGACTTTGAGGCTGGTGAGACAGAGTCATGGTGGGATGCTGCCCTATGTTTATTTTTTTTATCTTTTAGAGCTTAATACATCGACACACACGATACATCATGCCAGATTAAACATATGACAACTGATACACTAAAATAGTCCATCTGTGGTGCTTTTAACAATTCATAGAGAGAGTTTAAAACATGCATTTCCTCGCTGGCAAGTTTTTGTTTGCACTGCAGAATAAGATCAACCCTTTGAGGCTACAATAAGGTAGATCCTGCAGCTGGTAAATGCATTTAGCCTGCATACATAGGGAACAAGGCTGTATCTTCTACATGACGCATGGGGGTAAAGCGTGCTTCCTACACTGACAACAAATACCACCGACCTGTGACATCCAGCGTCCATCTCCGTGCACATCCTCTACTGGCTGAGGCACTGCAGCTGGGTTCAGATCATCCCCACTCATCCTACAGGAGACACCAGCGCTTATTCCCACACAGATTAAAAACAACAACACACAGCTGCAGACAGACACACTAAATGAAGGCTGCTTGATACAGAGCATCACCAGCAGCTAGCAGAAAAACCACTGATGTGATGCAACAGCTTAACGTTTCGGGGGCAGACAGACTGGCCTAATACGGATGTAGGCTACTTTCGCTTTCAAGGAGGGTGCTTATGGATCAGAGAGCAGATCGCATTAAATCCTCTCGGTTACTGTTTATCTGCCGATAGCTTGTTAGCCAGCCAGCTAACGACCGGGGACTGTTGTTATGGCTGCATCTCTTGACACGCCCGTCGTTAACATGAACCCATCCGTAAAACCACTTTGTGTTTTAAAGTACAAGGCGGACTACCTGGCAGTGTGTCGGCCCCGTCACGTCTCGGCTCCCTCGGCTGAACTCTTTTGCCTCCAACCTCAGTGTCGCCGCTGTCGGGTAGTGGAGGCGGCTGATGCTGCTAGCACCCGTTAGCTGACCGAGACAACAAAAGGTGTGTCAAGAAGACAAACTACAGAGAGTCTGTGAGGGAGAGAGCGCCGGGCTGCTGCCACTGCACACAACCACCGCAGGAGGGCGCTGCAGCGAGATACCCGTGTCTGGAGGGTTAGGGTTACCCTCGTGTTTGCCTGTCAGGCACACATTTACAGGCTCACGGCGGTAGCTAACCCTAACCCGTCTGTAGCAGAACCACACACGCTGCTACCTCGTGTAAAGTACGGATGCTGCTGAGGGTTGAGGTTGATAAACAGCCTGTAGGTGCTCCTGCCTGAGAGGTTTAACTCAGGGCAAGAAACCCCCACGGACAGCTGCTCCGCAATGAATCGTGGGGGTTTTGAAAATGCGATTAAAAATACAGCCAAACATTTCAGACTCTGAAAACTACGAACTTCTCTCCGTTTGTTGTTCAGTGGGTGTCAGCTGTACGGGGAAACACCTCCGAGTGGGAGTGGGTCTTTTATATCGTTTAGCTCGTACAACGTTCAACACCGCCGACATCTTTGCTGGGCGACATGTTGTAAGGCGATGTGTCTCTTCCACTCGTGGCACATCTCCTCTGTGGACAACGCTGTGTCAGCTGATCGCAATGCATCATGGTCACGTTAGATCAAACGCTGCATTCCGGTACTGTGGGAAACACTGACAATATCTTCTGTTGACATTGTAGACAATAATGTAAACAATGTTTTAAAATACAACCAGAAGATGTATTTTGTATTATTTATCTTTATATATATATATATATTATGAATATTGATATTATATATATAACAACTGTGACAGCCCCAGGGTTGGCCTTATTCTGTTCCTCTTTCTTTGCTTGTTTACTTTCTGGGGGTGGAGCTGAGATTTCTCCCTGATGCAGCTCACCTGAGCAGGCTGGGCTCTCAGGACACAACCTTTAATCACAGTCTGCTACAGGCAACCTTCTGTTAATGTAGATTTAATAAGCTCATAGTAACATCATATTAATAACTTATATTAAACATGTTTAATAACATAACGTTGTTATGCTGCAGGTGCCTTTAAATCATTTTTTTAAATAATACATTAACATCACAGGCAGATTTATGGTTTACAACCATTTGCAGAAGGTTTAGGTGCTGATATGTGTCATAGACTGATGTGTCTTATCTTACGGAGATCTGTCTTTTACAATGTGGCTAATAAGAAATAAGAAGTGAAGAAAAAGTGCCCTTATAAGCTTAATGTTGCTCCACCCATTAGGACCTGCCAGACACATTTTCCCCACAAATATTTAGTTCCCCTAGTCTGCGGCGAAGAGCTGTTGGGAATCGTCCATTAATTTACTTCCTGCTAAGTGACTTTCAGGCAACATGTTTAATACTATACATTTAATGAGTCTGCTATGTGTTTTCCTGGGAGGATTCTCCGTGCCTGGTGAGTTACAACAACCTCTATCTCCCCTAAATGCAAAAACTCTTTCACATTTATACTCTGTGATATTCGAAGTAGAACCTGGGTTCAGTGCTTGGTAAAAAGAGGAATGTGAGTTTAATGCACTATAGACAGATTTTTATCATTATACTTATAGCTACTGGATTTGCTCTTTTGCTCCATAACTACTTATGTTTTCATAATCTACTGGAGATGTTAACAAAGCAATTCATTGCATATTGTACAATTGAGTATCTGACTGGGACAGGAACAGGCCATTTTAAGCCACAATTTCAGAGTGTGCAAATAAAAAATGCACCCTCCACAGATCAATGTTATTCGTGTCCAGTTGACCCTCTGAACTCTACGTACTCATACAATCATTAGCCAGTGACAAAAGGGGAGCATTAACTAAAATGCAGGCTTTGTTGCTTTATTCTCAAACTGCTGATGTTGATTCACGTGGTTATACAGTATATGACTTTAATAAGCCATAGGTTTAATCAGAGGAGGCTTACGACTTTGTTTGCAACAAAAATGTAGGCATTGGTACAGTATAGTGTTGGAGATGTACAACGACTGTAAACCTGACAGACGGATGAGTTGACTGCTGAACATTGAGTCACTTTTACTTCTTCTACTTACTAAATAAATATTCTGTTGGTATGAACTGTAAAGAGGTACACATGTTTAAGGATTTTAATGTGGAAAGACTTTTTTTTTTCAGACCAGACACATATTACTGTTGTAAGCAGACTAGGTGTATGTCTTAAGACATGTCTGAAGGGGATCTATAAGTAATTCATACTTATGTTTTCAGTTTTTAGCAATGATCTTAGATCTAAAATATCAGTGTTGATACCTTGTAAGTGTATTTTTTTAAAGCCTATATACTACTTAATATAGTGGCGGTAATATTATAATAGTAATTATTATTATTTTCAGTATTTTCCATAGTACCTGAACACAACACATGCAGTCGACCTTTGGCTTGACTGAAGACTGACTGATTGTTTTCCGACACGATACTGTGGCCACAAGATGGCAGCAGTCAGCACAAGACCCTTGTAATTAAACATCTTATCATTCCTGAGTTATCAATCGCAGACCTAATACGCATGTGTGGAGTAGCAGGTGCGGAGCAACAGGTTGTGTCGGAGGCCAACAAGTTAAGCAAGAAGTGAGCGAATGAACACCGCCCTACTGTAACAGTTGTGTACGCAGGTTGACATTTCAGGAGGCTCTTTAACTGCCACAGTCTGCGAAGACATTTGTATTCCCCACTCCATTCAATAAGTGTACATGAAGGGACTTTTTACGGAGGACTTAACCCGCCAGAGTTGAGGCACTATCAATGTTTTATCCCATGTATCGGATATGGTTTCTGCTTCTCCTGGGAGGATTCGCCGTGCCAGGTGAGTTTCAACTTCCTGGAGACATTAGGAGACTCTGTCTTTGTCTCGCTTTGTGGTGAGAGATTTTCGGACTGTAATTAAGACCCACTGCACGGCACCGAGAAGAATGACAAAGTCTGTAGAGAGCTTGTTTAATTTCACCTGAAGGCTTGTTCACCTTTAACACGAAGGCTCCTCTCACCAGGGAGTGTAACCTGCTGGCGTGGACTGTTTGAGGCTGTGGATTATATATTATATTGGGTTGTTACACCACCATATATACGTAACATTATATCTTATTATTATGTGTCACTCTTCCTTGTATTGTTTATTTGAAATGTGTCATCCAAAATTGGACTGAGAATATAAAATAATCCCTAAAAACATCAAATCAAAACAAAAAACAAAAACCAAAGAAGGCATATATTGTTTTCTTGAATGTAATGTCTCAGTTAAATGTAACACCTGCCTATTTCTCCACCCTAGGCTAGTACAATCAGTGATCTACTCATTGTATATTCACCAGCAGCACCTGTCAGCTTTGCCAGCTGTTTGATAATCACCATTTAAAAGTTTAAAGTAATGCAATCGCTTGAATTCCTGCAGAATCAACCCAAAAGTTAAAGTCTCAGAAATCATGAAGGGATTCATTTATAGCAAAAACCGGAAGACTAATTTAGCAAAGCCTCCCCAGCACCAACTTAAAGCGATATTTGTTTGACAACGCTGCAGTCTGTGGTCTATGCAAATGACCAATGAGTTGAATCTACACCTCCGACAGGCTGAACATTATGAGCTACACAAAACTGGCATTTCTCTCAGGACTTTAGTTTATGTAATTTCCACCCAGATGAGCAATCAAAGGATGCAGCCTGTGTGTGCTGGTGCGTGTTATTCTGTGAGAGCACAACTGTTAGATGTGTTGTTTATTAGCAAATGTCAACAAGTCAACAAATATAGTGTATTAGTGCAACTAGTATACACGACACTTGTTTTTAGACAGATTTTGTCTGATTTTGGGGGGAATTAATGAGAAATTTAAAGGAACAACTCATCACAACACATTCTTCAAAAAACCTGCAACTTGCACCACAAATCCAGATGTTCCAACAGATGCTATTGATCGGACTGTTGGAGAGGCTTTAACAAAGGTCAAAATTCAGTGTAATTTTGTGTAATTTCAGCAGTGGCATAAAGTATGTTGACGTTGAAGAAGACTTCCTTCTGTTGTGCTGGCAGGAGATTTTGTTTTGCTCAAACAGCCAGTTGTGAATATGAAGGAGCTGTTTGGACATGCAAGCTTTAACTTACCTGCCATAGTGGGTTGGACTACGGTACACCGCGCTCTCTCTCTCGGCTGGGATTGCAGATGAGTTTATGACATTATGAGATTGTAGACTTTTAAACTTGAAGCCATTCAGTCGCAGAGCACCATGAGAGTGTCCCCGTAGACACTTGCTGTTTGTCTGATAAGCAGTCTCCTGACGCCACAGCGGATAGATAACATATAGCAGGCTTTGTAACACGAATAATCAGTCATAATGTCCCCAGTCTCTTTCCAGTAAAGGGCAGATATTAGGGAAGTTATTATTTGCATGATTGACCTGCAAAGCTTTGTGAAAGTGTTTCATGAATTCAGTTTTAACTGGAGAGTGACAAAAGAGGAGGGATTAATAGGAAATTGTACAAAATAAAATCTAAACAAAAATAGACCAGATCGTATCATCAAACTGTAATTGGACAATTTCAACAGTTAATAATAATAAATAGTTTTTATGGGCACTGATTGTTTTTTATAAATTCTACTACCAGTTTTGATTCTGGTCTCATTCCTTCTTCAGTTCCTTCCTCATAAAGTTGTTAAACAAGCTCTTGCAGGTTTTAGGATGATGATTTTATCTTATATCCTTCACAGTGTCTACAGGAAACCACACTAACATAATAATAATAAGAAGAAAGAATGATCACTAAAAACATAGTTATTATATTACAGTACTTCATTATAAAGCTTTATCTAGCTTTATTTGCATATTGCAGCCGTCCATATTGGGATTTTTATGGCTGACGATACACATGAAAACAGACAGTCAGTGCGACACTGACCGCGGCTTACTAAATACTGTTATCCTGTTTAGTTTAATTTTCTTCTACTGTCATACATTCAATTTCTTCCCTCCGTGTTCGGGATTACAGAACATTCTTGGCTTCTTCTCTGCACTTTATGGTCAGGAATGCTTTAATCCGCAGGAAGAGTCTGCAGGTCTGCTCATCACTGTGATCCAGATTTACCTCCACTATTTAACTTTACCAGACCCCTGAAACTGTAGTATACTGAACCATGATTTCAAGTAAAACATGATGGAAAACTTTTCATTTTGGGGTCACCTATGAGAGAAATTATTGAACAAAAAAATAACAAACATCCAAACATGCTCTTTTCAGATAATAAGATATTTCCTGTGTTTTTCAGATACCTGTAAAGGCAGCGTCCGTCTGCACAAGTAATGATTAACCCATAGTAGGCGTAGCAGATATTTGAATTATTTGCTCTCTTGTTTGCTGTTCTGAAGTCAATTCATGTAGAAAATGAGGTCTTGCAGTCTCAAGCAGTGGATGTAGACGATGCTACATATACAGCTACAAACACTGAACAAATCATCTGGGTCACTATGCTCTTTACTGTCAAGGACGTTTCTGTGTTGAATAAGCAGTGAGAACTACTTTTGGTGAACTGCTCTGCTTGTTTGGGTGGTTTAATGATTTGCTCTGAAACTGAGGGATGAAATAAGAAACAGTCACATGGGCAGTTTGAACTGTAACTGTGCTGTGAACGAGTCAGGTTATGTTAATGATGAGTATTCTTTCTCACTTGGTTGTTTTTATTACAGGGGTGCGACATGTCAGTGGGATAGAGATTTACACTTCGACAGAGCTGGAAGTGGTCAATGGGACTAATGTCAAACTGAAGTGCACCTTCACTTCCAGTGAACCGGTGTCACTTCAGTCCGTCATAGTGTCCTGGAACTTCCGTCCCTTAAATTCAGGATCAGATGAGTCGGTGTGTATATCTTGTATTTTAATGTTATTATTAATGAAATCCAGTCATGATTTTTATAGGTCCCTAAAGTGTTGATTGATTAAGATAAATACCATATTTGGTTTAATTATCTCTCTCTTTTAACAATAGCCATTCTTTTAACAGCTCTGTGTGCAACCTGCCAAATCTAACCTACAGGAGAAAATAAGAAATGATGCATTGCACTACATACACCTGCATAACATTAACATTATGACCACTTGGGCACCCTGGTTCAAATCCTCACGCTGCCCATTTTTCCTGCTTCTAACACAAAAACTTTGAGGACAAAATGTTCACTTGCTGCCTGATAATATCCCCACCCTGACAGGTGGCATCGATAACAGATAATCAGTGTTATTCACTTCACCTCTCAGTGGTCACAATGTTATGGCTGATCGGTGTATGTTAGCACTAAGCTAATGGTGACACAGAGTGCAGTACTTTATGTCTTTTTTACAACATGTGATGCATATCTCCCGGTAGCTGAGATATGAATGGCATGAATCTAATATGACAATGTGGCTCTTGGTGGCTTTTAAACTTGTATACAGCACCTGACAGCTGAATTGTGGCCATTCTGAGAGTAATATTTGAATGAGTACGTTGCTCAGGAAATGTTCTTCAAAGGCAGTGGCTGAAGTGGCCATAGCAGCTGTGGATTTTTTTTATATTTGCTAATTTGTTTGGACTTATAAACTACTGCTTTATTGTTTGTGCGTGTTTGTGTGTCAGGTGTTTTTCTACCAGGAGGTACCATACCCTCCCAAGCAAGGGCGATTTAAAGACCATGCGGTGTGGTCGGGAGATGTTTTGAAACGCGACGTCTCCATCACCCTGCATGAGGTGCTTCCGACCTTTAATGGCACCTACATCTGCCAGGTGCGCAACCGCCCAGATGTGCACGGCAGTAATGGAGAGATCGTCCTCAGAGTCGTCAACAAAGGTTAGACTGGCAGCTTGGTTGATTAACTTTCGGAAAGATGAAACGTCTGTCACCTTTCTATAGCATCAAATGTACTACAGCAATGTTGGAGGAGCTTTTATTTTATTTCTGCTTTTCAGTCACTATCATCAAGGTTTTCATCAAGAGAACTTAAGCAAGTGGAATGCCTGCAGCATGAAGTGAAGGACAGTGTGTTTAATCAGGGACACTGCTTTATTTTTTATTCTGATGGTATCTCTGTTTTGTTCCCCAACTGCCAGCAATCAGTTTCCACCGCTGTTATCACTGATTCTAGGTCTTGTTGCTTCTAGTGTCCCTCTCTGAGATCGGGATCTTGGCAGCGACCGTTGGAGGTGCCTGTGCTGTAATCTTGATCCTCCTCGGTATCTTCGTGGCGGTGAGGTTCTACAGGAGAAAAAACCGGGGAAATGACATTGAGCTGCACCCACGCGAGCACGAGCGGAAGGACCCGACCGTGTGGTGAGGACCAGAGTGCCAGGGCTCCTTTGCTCCTCTGCTTCTTGGGACTGGTGTGGAGGCTGTTTGGGTCCACTCTGCTGGAAAAGACAAATGAAAGTTAAGGGCAGGATGGCATCTTTTTCTTCCATGTTTGTTCCTCCAATGTGAACCTCTAAGATGACTTGTAGTTTTTTTTCACTTCAGTATTAGATATGTAATGTACCACTTTCCCCATTTGTTGTAAATCTTTATACACTTGTTTTTACCAAAAGTGATTGTAATTACTAACTTAATTTTATTCAGTTTTTAAAGAGAGTAGGAGATTTAAATATGGAGGATTTTTCTAACTAAATGCTGTTCTTCAGTTCACAGCAGCAGTGCTGACTGCAACCATTAGGCTGTATTTTCCCTGTTGATATGCTCTTTTATCATATAACCATGGACTGACCAGTTAATGCTTTGACTGAATCACCACTTCAAACACATTATTGATTATATCCTTAAAGAGCACATCATACAGGAAACTGCTGCTGTGAATTGAGTTATATCCTCTCTATCGCCTTTTAAAAATATAAGAGGAACTTTTTCTGAGCAGCTGCATTAACCTGCTTCTTCTGCTTCACAATATGTGCCACTGTAATTTGTGAAATACAGATGAAATGTTTTACAAATGCAGAGATCTTAAACCCAGAGAACCTTGAACTGGCTTTGGTGGAGAAATGTTTATGAGCTGATGTTTTGGTCATCTTTGTCAATGGAAGGAAGCAGTACATGAATTCTCTGGTACGCTGGGTTTGTTTCAAGCTGAGGATTCTGGGTATTGTATTCTTTAATCTCTGTTTTGCTAAGGCGAACCATTGCGGCCCTCTTGTTTATTTGCTAGACTTTACATTTGGCCGTATATCCACTGAGTAGCCTGTCTCATTGTTTACGTGTGTGTGTGTGTTTATACATGTTGCATGTTGCGTGTGTGTGTTGGATCTGTTTTACGTGATTGCTTCAGTTTACCTGAAGAGGCAGTTCATCTGAAAGTTGTGACAGTGGAGAAAGAAGTTGATAGTTCAGATGATGAGGAGTCTGAAAGTCAGGCAGCGTGGAGCATGATGAGGAAAGAGGAAGCCTAGAGATGGATGATGATGATGATGATGGCAGTGATGATGATGATGACTAATTGGAGAAGTGTGTACATTTAGTCATTGATTTTTAGATTAGTTTATTGATTAGAATTGCCTTTCTCGTTATGACATTAACCTTTTTGCTATTCATTAACATGATTGAATGTTTAGATGTAATATATTGTATTTTTTCAGTGCATTATGGTCACTGAATTACATTAATACAAGAAGTTAAAAGACTACTGCACCAATTTAGCATTATACTCCTACTGTCTAACATATTTACAATGGATTTTTTTTAAAAGGAACAAAATAGAAGGAGCAGAACCAAAGATGTTCCTTATCAACACCAGGTGCCTACATTACCCACAATGCAACACGCAATGCTAGTAGGTTAATGTAGCTTAGAGCCTCAAGCAGAGACGTGGAGCGGGCTTTTCATTCATTTTCAAACTTGTTGTCTACAGCCCCAACCCACGCTGACCTAAGTGACATCACTTAAGGCAGTTCATCAGCCTTCCTCCCTCTGGAGCCACAAAAGGCTTTATACAACTTTTTTACACAAATGCAGCAGTAGTCCCCAAGACCTGTAAACAGATGGAGGTGGAGTCTGTGTGTTTGATGAATGTGGACTGATGGTTGTGAGTCTGGTCTGTCATACATGGCCTCTGTAACTTTTTTTTCTTTGTGCTAATTCGACTGGATTTCCATACAGCTGCTGCTAGAACTCTGTTGCCTTAGATCAATGTTGTGAAAATCATGAATTTTCATGTTGGATAAATGGAATATAGATTTTTAAAGAGATGATCCGGTTTAATTTGGCTCATTGTTAAAAGCACTCTATACCAGTGCAGACAGTGTTTGCATAGCTTTGGTGTTGCCAGATTAAATGTTTTTCCTGTTTAGTTTCTAAAAGCACCAACAGAGAGTAGAATTTTATGCAAGAAACAGCATTTAACTGCGTCATACTGTGTGTTTGCAGTCACTTTTGAATGCTGCTGGAAATAAAACAGCACAGGCTGCTGTCATTTAATTTTTGCTTCCAGAGATTCTGTAATATCAAATGATAATCAAAGTGTGTTTTTACCACAATGGCAACATTGCACAAGTGATTTATATTTTGATTCTGTATATAGTGTAAAATAAACAGAACTTTACACTTTTTATAACTCTTGTCCTGAAATGTTGTCATATGTATCTCTATTTAGCGACTCTGGAATAAACACTTTTTTTGAAATTATTAAGTAGCATGAAGTTTATTTTTATTAAAAAAAAAAAAGGTTCTGTGTGTGGGAGGTAAATGGATTGGGTGGGTGAGTGTGAAATACCAACCATGTGCCACTCCTTTCCTCTGTCATACACATCATAACAATAAGTTACAGTCACACTGCCGGGCCTTAGAACAGTAGTTTGTCTTTCCTATGGAGCTGCCCATGTCTTGAAATGAGTTTATTTATATTGGAAACAGGTTTAAAGAATCTCACTGGGACCCTTTCATTGTTTTTTTTTCAGGTTTAGTTAACACCGACTGAACAATCACAAGAATGCTTCACATTACATCTCATTGGAAAAATTTAGAGTTCTCTTCCAGTGGAGTGATTGGAGCATAAAGTCATAAAAACAACCAAAGAGGCATGCAGGACACATCACCCCCTGGTGGTATCATTAACTCAGTTTTTCCTTAATACTTAAGTGGAGAATTATTTTTTTCCTGTTGACTTTAAACACAATCCCTGCTATTGTATCCGTCCTTTTAAAAGCGAAGATAAACAAAACTAGAGTGTTTGTTTAACAGAGAGCAGTTATTGAGTTGGGTGGAGAGGGACTCTAACCTGGGACATGTGGTAACCTGTCTGCACAGAGGCTTCGCCAGACTGACTCTTTTTCTCGGTGTACATTGCACATGTGGAATAAAAAGTAGCTGCACAGGTTCTTTGTAGCATTCATACAAAGAACCTGTGAATTGCTGTTAACAGATGCATTTCCAAGGAATTTGGCATCAAATCATCAAATCTAAGACCTCTTACAGCCAATTAACTTTTTAAGGAAAGCATCAACAAGAGGAAGGAACTGCAAATGATGGGTAAGAAATACAACTCTACGGGTCACAGTCAGTTAAAAGCTTGTTCAGCAGTGATTAAATATTACTAATAAATGGGACATAGAGTAGGAACTCTAAGTATTGTAACAACTGAATAACAAATATTTACCTTGAGTTTACCAAGTTTAGTCATGTATCTGATAGTAGTTACTAGGTACCTCTTAGTTTAAGATTTTACTTTATAAAGTTTATAAAATACAACACATTGTTATGGATTTAAACCAGTGGTATTCAACCATTTAAGCTTATGAACCCTCACAAAATAGCAAAGTCTAGTTTTGGTTTCTTGTCACATTTTAGATGTCTATGAGGGGGGGCAGCAGCCAGGGGGCAGCAGAAACAACAACGCTGACATATTGTTAGCTTTAACAATTGAAATGGCGAGCTTTTTAGCAAACAGTTGCTTATTTACACATCCAGCAGTTATGGAGCAACATTATCATTTATTTGGAGGGTTTTTGTCACCTGGCAAATTTAAGTCTGACATTCACTCTCTTTTAGCTCTGATTTTGGTCTCTTACCAATTCCTAGAAATATCGGTTAATTAGTAGCCACAGTTTGAGCCTCTCGTGTTACAGGCATTCTGGGTTTTTCAGGTTTTAAAAAAACCCAACAACACTAATTATCTTTTAAATAAACCAATCTACCTCTGTGACCTGAATATGCTAATACACGAGGCACAAACTGGGGCTAGCTCTTTAGCTGCTAACTGAACTGTGGGTATTAACGGACCAGAATAAAAGTTAAAACAGAAAATATTATTGACAAGATTTAAGTTGCACATTAGCAATCAACATTTGTTTATGTCCCATAAGGTTTGCACTGAGAAGAGTCGGGTCCAGGATGTGCTGATGTCACATATGGCACTTAGGACCCCCAGATTTATCTTGGGACCCTTGCCAGTGGGGCCGACCCATAGGTTGGGAATCACCTAACTGTAGAACTAAACTACTAACAGTATATAAAGTACAGTTGTTACTGTAAATTGCTATGTATTGATGCATCAGTGTATAAGTCACAGACACCACGTTTCCCTTTTTATACATTAAAACATTTTTGCTGTAGTCTGTACATCTACATAGGTAAGGTTTTAAAGGCGGGACTTTTACTTGTAATAGAGTATTTTTGCAGTGTTGTACTGGTAATTTTATTTAAAAGGTCTTCCCACACGTCATTGTGTGAGTGCTTGTGTTGCTCTCACTCTCTACATGTGTACAGTAAGTGCTGAGACATATGTCCTTGTCTCCTTCCTTTGGAGCAGCACACGTTTTGCTGCAGTAAGAGCAAATGTCACCTACATGGCATCTATGAATAGTAACACAGGACACAATCATGAATACCTGTACAGTACATATCATGTGGTTATTGTTTGTGAGTGTGACTGTCCATGGGCACTGTGTGGTTAGTCCTGCACAGGTCTGCAGCAGCACCCTGTCTTTCTGCAGCAAAATGCTGTTTTTTTCTTTTTTTTTTTCTTATTGCAGTTCTGGAAGAGTTCCCACTGCTGCTGCATTGATACTCCAGTGGAGGGGCCTGGAGAGGAGAGCAGTGAGCCTGCAGCCCGGCTACATTACCTCTCACTAAGAGCTCCACACCCGTCAGACCACCCTGTATATGCTCATTATTGAGACCTGAACCAGATTGGTTTGTAATCCTCTGGCTAATTTATTTTCAGGCCCCGCAGGTTGTAGTTGGATACAGTCTCGTACTGTTTAATCAAACACAGTGTGGATTAACTATGTTCACTCAACATCCTGTGCCACACATTAGATTTTAATTTGGATATTGCTGCTGTGTTTACATAGAGTTATGTCAGGACGATCCTTTATCCTCCCCGTTCAGCTCTACTAAATCCTGCCTGTATTAGATACAGTATGTTATATATTGAATGTAAGAGCTGACATCTGACATACACAAGAAAAATAATTAGTATTGTAAACTTTGCATGAGCTACTAAAGAACAAAGATGCCTTCGTAGAGTCTGCATATGCACATCATAACCTGCTCAATGAATAATAGATCACGGTGTTAAGTACTTTCAAACTAAGTAAAGCACAAAATAAGCTTACGTGGCTGTCTTTCTGTTTAATCTAAATTTCACTTACAGCCCTTCAGAGTTGCAAACTTTACCTTACCTTATTCTCTTGTAAAATAAATACCAGTTTTGTAAGCAGAGAAAAACAAGTCGGAGGTGAAGTCCAACATGGATGTGTAGCTGTCCTCTTGTCCTCTGTCTGCGTAACTGTACCTTGGCTCAGATGGCACACTGTATCACATGATCTCAGTTGCATCGCTGTTAGCACTCACAATTCTCCTTTGATCCAGTATGAAACTGTTATTAACCTCTTACCAACCCCTTTTTTGTGACAAACTGATCATAATAATCCATTATTGCTGCACGGTCACCTTCTATTTACAGTAATGGATTGAAATCTGAAAACTGTGAGCTCAGCACTTCTCCTGTCATGTCCTGCAGTGAATAGTGCAGACACATGATGATGGTCAGCTGTTGACTGATGCGCTTGTACATTTATGGGAAAGGAGCCATCCCGTTGAAAAATGACTGCACACATCCCCTCATATCACAATGCATTTGCAGCTGCATCACACTGATCACAAGAGAGTAATGAACGCCTCATGATATACAAGATAGTTTGACCTTCTAGGCATTGAATGGGACACACATGCACACATCAGCAGTGGCTGTGGATGTTAATTATCCTGAGCCATGGGAATGTGAGTCCCGGCACGAGCCTGCCTTTCAGGAAAAGAGGGGGATGGAATCTGGGGATGGATAAGTAGTGAGAGGAAATAGAAAATAAAACAAGTGAAAAGCTCTCAAAGTCACATTGTAAAATCAGACTTAAGTAGAATATAGAGTAATTACTGCACTGTTTTCTCCTCTCGCTTGTAATTCTGTAATGCAGAGTTTTGGTGCCTTAAAGGTGACGTTATCAGTGACAGGACATGTCTATTTATGAATGGAGCATTTTGATATGGGACTGTGTGTCTGGCCCGGCCCTGGGGCTGCATTACACAACCTCCTCCTCAACCTGCACTGCAGAACTTTTCTCTGATCTTCACAAACACTCTGACAAAAGTGCCTGAGTCTGCATACACGCCCCGAGTCAGGAGATGGGGAGGAGGGTGAAGGAGGGAGGGGAGCAGAGAGAGAGCGAGAGGGAGAGCGAGAGAGA